ATCAAACACTAAATTCTAAATTAAATACAGATGAATTAAATACAGATGAATATTGATTTCCTCTCGTTTCTTTTGTTCTTTGATTAACAGGCATCACAGCAGCTGGTTATTAGGTTATTTTGACTGCTTTAAGTGCTGCCACTGCTGAACATTACGCGGATCTGACACGCATCGTATTTTCTCACTCTTTACCTTTTCTGACTCACTTCAGTTGAATTGGGAGTGTTAGATGAGAGAGGCAGTGCTGGGCTGCTCCAGGACAGTTTTGAAAACCACTGCATTTCAGAGATATGTTCTTAAATGTGACTCATATATAACAAATACTTACATGCATGCACAGTTTTAAGGCAGCTTTGATCGCCTTTTTGGTAACTTCATGGCTTATCTGACAACATAACTACGACATTGCATGCTTGTAGTTTAATTTGCGCTTTAATATGAAATTATATACAGTGCACGCTGCCGCATTTGTGCATGCAATTGAAGAGCACGTGCTACGAGCACAGTATAACAGCTGACAGGACAGGAAAATTAGTTTTTACTGACATATGGCATGACAACATATATATATATATATATATAGCTTCCAGCTGGGAACAAAGTAAAGCCAGATTGCTGCTCATAAGTACAAATTTAAGGCTAAATAAGGCTAAGAGGCACTACTGCCAAGCCAAACTGTTACTTTATCCTACCTGGGACTTTTTTCCCCCTATTTTTCCTTTGTCTTCTTACTTGAAATGCTTTTGCAATGAGTTACAGTAAGGAAAAACTCTTGTGAAAGCCAGGAGAAGCGCTCAGAAAGCTGAAACAATGCCTTTTAGTTTCTTTTGTTTGAGTTTTGTATTCATACTTCAAAATTAATATAATTTTTGAACACTTCAAAATTAGTACATTTTGAAGTCAAGAAGAATAACATTAACCCAGCGGCCATTGCTGCATCTTCATGTGTGATATAAAATTATTCAGGTATGTGTCACTACTATTGATCTCCTATCAAAGGCCATGGGAGTATTTCTAATGCATATCTGTGTACAGAAACACACACAAACACACAAAAGTTTGATGAAAAATACAATATAACAGTAATATTGTGAAATATTTTTCCAATTAACATTTCATATTATTATCAATGTTAAAAACTGTTGAGCTGCTGCATTTTTCTAGAAACCATGATATGTTTTTAGGGTTCTTTGTGTGTAACATTCATAAATACTGTAGATCAGATCATCAAAGTCAACTATTCGTATCTGTGAACACTAACTATGTTTCTAAATTGTAGAGAAAAAGCTGGCAAATGGCTAACATAATGCTGATAAATATGATAAGCCTCAATTTAATTTGAATAAATAAAACATACATATTATTTTCCAAAATATTTACTAAAAACCAAAAACTCACATCTTACATGAACATCTTTTGTCTAAAGTTCTGCTCAAATTCAAACAGCACAGTAAGGTTTACAAGGCCTTGTGAGTACAAAATCTATCTTTAGTTTTACCCCACATGACCCCCGAGAGACATGTTAATAAAATCAGCTTGTGATTATCTTGTGCCGACGTTTACAAAGGGCCTGGAGAGGACTGGGAAAAAGTCTGTTATTGTTCTCTACTCGCAGTTATTACAACCTGAACAGACCTCCTACAATCTCACACCAGTGTACGCCCATTTTAAAAGGTCACTGTAAGAAAAAAAGTGATTAAAATGACCACAAAGTGCAATATCCACCAAACAATAAAGCACGACACTGTGACTCTAAACAAAAAGCCATTGAAGGAAAGCACACAGACTTTAGTTACCTCTTAGTTGACTAAAAGCAAGAGAGAGAGCGAGAGAGAGAGCGCGAGAGAGAGAGCGCGAGAGAGAGAGAGAGCGAGAGAGAGTGAGAGAGGGAGCGCGAGAGAGAGAGCGCGAGAGCGAGGGAGAGAGAGAGAGAGAGAGAGAGAGAGAGAGAGAGCGCACTTCTGTTGTGTGATCTGTGATGTTCACTCACTTAGCACACGCATCATTTGGATTAAAACGAAATCGCACATCATATGACCCCTTTAATATAAATGCTCTCTAAAAAGTGCATATTTCTGCTTTCAAACTGTAAACACGATATTTGCCGAAGAATGAGTTGAAAATATTTTCTGTGGTAATTGACAGCGTGCCACAGATAGAATCTGTTTTGAACCTGAAACGTTCTTTTAATTTGGAGCAAACTTTATTCAAAGGCTTTTTATACTTTGAAAGTTGAGATCAAGGTCAGCGGGAAATAATCTCCATCCATCTGCTGGTCTTAAAAGCATTAAAGCCACACCTGGAAACTAATAAGAACATTAAAATCATTGCAGGGCAGGCACAACTCAAGAGGATATGAATTTATCCAGATGAGGGCTTTAGTTGGGACTGGGATAGGTGGGTGTTGAATCAGCAGAAGGTCAGCCAGTTCCTCCAGCTGCCCAAAGCGTGACCTACTATTTTAAAATCAGAGAAAGGCACCCGAGGGGTCACCGTGTGCACGACTGACTTCCTGTAGAAAGCTTGAGCGGCGTGTAGAGCAGGCATGAAGGAAATTAAACATCCTCAGACATGTTTTACCTTCAAATCCCCACGGGTGATGTATCACTTACCAGAGACTACATAGACATACATCCACAAGATGTGTGAGACTGAGATGAGTTTTGTGATGTGTTGATGAAATGGGTGTGTGAGGCATGAAGGAAATTGAACATCCTCAAGACATGTTTTACCTTAAAATCCCCACGGATGATGTATCACCTACCAGAGACAGCATAGACATACATCCACAAAATGTGTAAGACTGAGATGAGTTTCGTGATGTGTTGATGAAAGCTGACAGTTATATCCACTATGACGAATGAGTTTGCCTGCACTCTCAGAAGCATCTCTGTGGAGTTAAAGAGGTTTTCTCATGTTAATTCCAGGCTGAAAACCTGACAAGGCAGAGTCCAAAATTAAAGGGGTCATATGACATTGCTAAAAAAGAACATTATTTTGTGTATTTGGTGTGATGAAATGTGTTTATGCGGTTTAAGGTTAAAAAAACATTATTTTCCACATACTGTACATTATTGTTGCTCCTCTATGCCCCGCCTTTCTGAAACGCGTCGATTTTTACAAAGCTCATCGTTCTGAAAAGCGAGGTGTGCTCTGATTGGCCAGCTATCCAGTGCGTTGTGATTGGCCGAATACCTCAAGTGTGTGACGGAAATGTTATGCCCCTTACCATACTGTGATGCCATGTCCCGGCGCGACGAGACAAAACCAATAAAACCCATTACAAACGAGGCATTTGTAGCATCCAGTGGGGACATAATTACTGATTATAATGACTTATACAGTCTTTTTACGCATTGCGTTGCATCGCGCCGCGTAAACATAAAACCATGTCTGCATTTGTGATCGGAGAAATGACAAACAACAAGCGCTACTCTACACTGCTCAGAACTCGCGTTTGAATCATCAGTGGCAAATCCTTTAAATATGAAAACGTACTTACAGGCTGTGAGTCAGCATTATTTGTCAGCATCATAGACTGTATAGGGTCAGCATGCGCGCCGAAGGGGAAACGGGGAACTGATTTCACCAGAACACCGGCATTGTAGGCTACTGGTTCAGGAAACAGTCCTTGTCCTCCGTAAAATGCGCTGCACACATCTGAATATTTGGGTTGAAGTGTTCTGGAACAGTGTTGTAAATACAACTTAACCACTGATTTCTAGTTGTGTCCTCTTTTGGAAGACCAAACAAAGTATTTTCGCTTTCACAACAAAACACACAGCGTGTCCACGACATGGCGGCGGCGGCAGCAACAATATTACAGCGAGAATAAAAGTTACGCCTTCTTTCTTTGCGTGAACATTTGGGCGGCGTTATGCAAATCTTCCCACACAGTGACGTAGACATGTGGGGGCGTGTTTAAACGAGGCGTTTTAGGAGGGCGTGGACGAGTCTTAACTTTTATAAAGAATATCTCTTTGGGTTTGAGACTTTAGTCTTTGCAACTTTAGGGATCTTATCTATTCACAACCAGCTTGTAACACTCCAAAGAGAAAGGAAAACTTGAAATCTCACCATATGACCCCTTCAAGTTTTTGCTACACCTGCCAGTGGTGGGTGAAATGAGAAAATGAGTCATATATTTTCAGTACTTTTTGTTTGTCACTTGCAATTCAATTCAATATTCAATACAATTCACATTTTTGCTATTGAGAAACAATAATTACAGTAATTCCAACATTACATGAACACAGCATTCGGAGTGCATGTCTTAACATATTATAATTATGAATTCGCTTACGAATTCAAAACGAAAACGTTTTAAAGGTGCACATTTACAATTGTTCGATACATTTTCGCAGGTGAAATCTGGTCGTTTCAAGAGGAATCCATGCGACAGGAACTTTCGTAGGAAGGTGAACGATTTCCACACACAGATTTCGCAATGGGTTCAAGTTGGTTACACAGATTCATCACGTGTTTTGACAAACAAAAGCTGCTTGGTTTGATATTGACTTCTGTGTGAGCTGTGCTTCGTACATACAGTAGCTACACTGTTGACAGTAGAGAATGGACCATTTTTGCCTGTAAAATTTAGCAGAAATTTTGGTAATATGAGCACATCAAGCTTCAAACATACATATCTACGATAACCATCACTCCAGTGCAGGGTTATTATAGTTAACTAAACCTAAAATAAAAAATATTAAACACTTTTTTTTTTTAGCTAGTCGCCAACATTTCTCATTTTAATTTAGTTTAATGATGTACTAAAATAACAACAACAAAAAAAACTATATAGACATTTTATAAAACTACTAAAATTAAAATTTAAATGAAAATGGAAAATTTAAAAATAAAAACATTAAAAAAAAAAAAAAAACCTAAAACAACACTGCTTTAACAACATGCTTTAGAATTAAAGGATTAGGGAAAAAAAAAAAAATTATTCTGGAAGTGAACTAATCCTTTAACCACCTTTTTTTCTAATCTTTCAGCTGTATTGAGAGCAGCATGTGCTACGACAGCGATGAGACTAACGCCCGCAGCATCTCTAGCTTGTCCAACCGTTCCTCCCCTCTCTCCTGGCGCCAAAGCCGGTCCAGCCCTCGGCTGCAGGCTGGTGACGCCCCCTCCTCCGGGGTCTCCACCCACTCGCTGCCCATCCGAGCAACAACGCAGACCAGCCACCTGCAGCACATCCAGCTCATCGAGGGCCTGGACGCCGCGGACGATGACCTGGCGGACCTCAAGTCTGGTTACCTCAGCGACAGCAACCTGACGGGCAAGAGCCAACCAGAAGAAGAGGATGACGACGATGTAGACGTCGATGATGACGACCTAGCCAACGGGTAAGCGTTTGTTACTTTTTTGCTGTTTGCTGATATATGTGAAATGTTTACTAGATTGTATTTTAGTGTACATGAACTATTGAAAACATTATTATGTAATTTATACACTACCATTCAAAAGTTTGGGTTCACCAAGTTGTTAATTAAGAAATTAAAAATGACTAATTTTATTATTACTAAATTAATACTTTTATTCAAAAAGGGTGCTTTAAATTGATCAAAAGTGACAATAAAGATTTTTATAATGCTTTTTTTTTCCTCAAACAAGTGATTTTCTTTTGGTCTTTCTGTTCATCAAATGATCCTGAAAATATTTTGTGTTTTCCATAAAAAAAAATATGAAGCAGCACGACTTTTTCATCATTGATAATAATGAGAAATGTTTCTTCAGCAACAAATCAGCATATTACAATGATTTCTGAAGGATCGTGTGACACTGAAGACTGGAGTAATGATGCTGAAAATAGAGCTTTACATCAGAAATAAATTACAATTTTAAAAATATTTAAGTAGAAAACAGTTATTTTAAACTGTAATAATATTTCACAATATTACTGTTTTTACAGATTTTTTTTAATCAAATAAATGGAGCCTTGGTGAGCATAAGTGACTTATTTCAATAAAAAGAAGAAAAAAATGTAATAAATACCATCCCTAAACTTTTGAAGGTAGTGTGTATTTTATATAATTTAATATTTTATTTAAAAAATGTAAAAATTATAATAATTGAATGTTGTTGCAGAACTCCTTATATTAATAATGTCTAATAAAAGCTGCACAATTCTTAAAATGATCTATGATTTATTCTTAAAATGTTTTACACATGGAGGTCTTTTTAGCAATGACTAAGTGCTTTTATTCTCCTACGAGTCGAATTGTGAAAGATTTAATTGGCTGATTCATTGTCAGCCTGAGGCCCCCCAAAGAGCAGTCATGTCACAATCAGCTGAGGGTCTCATTTTGGAGCCATATGTGCCATCTTCAGGTCCTCATCAGAGCTGGCTGTGTCCCCCGAGGGTCTCATGTTCACTGTCACAACATCTGATGTTGCCGAACGCAGCCTTCATTCTGCTAGCTGTAGCTGTGTGGAGAGGACAGCTCATTGTTGCAGATGTAGTGTTAAATGCGTGTGTGTATGTTTATGTGTGAACACAAAACTGGGAAATTACCGAGGAAATGAGATGTGTTTGTTTAAGCTGTCAGCGGAGCTTTGATGTTGGCCTCTCTTAACCTGCCCTGTTGGTTTAGTCTGATGGGGAATCGCTGCGAAGTGAGAAAGTTCACAATCCGGCAGCTCACATCTGAAAGTACTTCACCTTGCGTTTGACACCACTTCAGATCAAATATGTATCCTACTTCAGCAGATCACATTTATGATCTAACATAACCCAAAATGAATATGTTTTGCTTGAATGAAGACAATAACAAGCCTTCATGTGTTTTCCAGCAGAAATGCATTGTGATGCAGCCAAGCAAAACACACTAAGGGTGTATTCACACCTATCTTGTTTGGTTCGATTGAATCAAACTCAAGTTTGTTTCCCCCCTTGGAGCGGATCTTTTGGGCAGGTGTGAATACAGCAATCACACTCGGGTGCGGACCAAACAACCGCACCGAGACCCAGCTGAAGAGGTTCCAAACGAACTCTGGTACGCTTGAGAGGATGACCTTAGGCACACGTGTGGTTTTGTTTTAGGGCTGGGTTTTGACACAAATTTCACGATTCGATTCTCATTCACAAGCTTGCGATTCGATTCGATTC